CACCACCATGTCCAGCAATACCTCCTTTTTAAAACTCTCCACCCAATCCCTAGTTTTCCTAACTTTCATTCTTCCTTCATCAGCTTCTCTTCCTCTGTCTGTCCTTTACCTTTTTCTTTTCTTCGAGCCCAGCTTCTTTACCTTCTCCCCCAGAAGCTTGTCCATGGCTGCCTTCTCCTTCCCTCTCCTATTCTTCAAGGAATATTCCTCCTCAGTGATGATTTTCACCATCCCACTTCCCTCCCTAGGTATCCCCTAGTCCTCTGTGTTCCAGACTCAGATGCTCAATGATGAACATGCCCTACTGGACATTTCCCAAGGCTTTGGTATTAGTTATCTATTACTGCCTACCCAATTACCCCCAAACTTAGTAACTTATCAATACAAACATTTATTCAGGGAAAAGAATCTGGGAACCACAGCTGGGTGGTTCTGGCTGACTGTCTTGAAAATCTGCAGTGATGGTGTGGGCCTAGGTGCAGTCATTTAAGATTTCACTGCAGCTGAATGGAGGACCTCATTCCCCTGGTATTGCTTAGGGCCTCAGCCTCTTGCCACAGGGACATTACCTCATGCAGGTCCTCCCAAGTGAGCAAGGGAAAGGTGAGCTGCCTCTTATGGCCAGCCTCAGAAGTGAGGTCTAATCTCTTCTGCTGTATTTGTTGTTTTGTTTTATTTGTGTTATTTTTTTTTTTTTTGCCTGAGACAGGGTTTCGCCTTGTTGTCCAAGCTGACCTCAAACTCCTGGGCCCGAGAGCTCTTCCTGCCTCAGCCTCCCAAGTTCTGGGAATACAAGCATGTGCCACTGTGCTCAGCTACTTCTGCTGTATTCTCCTGGCCACACAGGCCAACAGTGCAGGAGGTGGCTACACACAGAGCACAAGTATGGGAAAGCAGGATAAAAACAGGTGTTTTAGTCAGTTTTTTCACTGCTGTGACTAAAAGACCCAACCAGGACAATTGTAGAGGAGGAAAAGTTTATTTGAGGGCTCATGGTTTCAGAGGTCTCAGTCTAAAGACAGCAGACTCCATTCCTCAGGGCTCAAGGTGAGGCAGAACATCATGGTGGAAGAGTGTGACAGAGGGAAGGAGCCCACATGATAATCAGCAAGCAGAGAGTGATATCTCCAATTGCCAAATACAAAATATATACCCCCAAATCACACCCAATGACCACTTCCTCCAGCCACACCCTACATGCCTTCAATTATCACCAATTAATCCAATCCTAATACCACTGAAATTCATTGATTGGGTTAAGGCTCTCACAACCCAATTATTTCCCCTCTTAAACCATTTACATTGCCTCACATGTGAGCTTCCGAGAGACACCTCACATCTAAACCATAACACCAGGTATGGTGGCACACACCTATAATCCCAGTGACTTGGGAGGCTGAGGCAGGAGACTCCCAAATTCGAGGCCAGCCTCAGCAACTTAGTGAGACCCTATATTGAAATAAGAAATAAAAAGGTTTGGGGATGTAGCCCAGTGGTAGACACCTCAAATTCAATCCCCAATACCAGAGAGAGAAAGAGAGGAGAAAGAGCAGACGCACGCACACATGCAGGATTATTAGGGGCTATCATGGAGCCTGGCAATCACAACACCTCAGAGTTAGCAGATCCACCGTGAATTTTCTTCTCCCCGTCCTCCTTTCAAATCTGTTCTCGGCCATACGGCTGGAAATCATTCTTGATTCTTCCTTCCTTAAACATACTCTTCAGTCACTGATTCCAGTCCATCTCTCCTTAATACCACTGCAATCTGTCTGCTTCGCTCTATTTCCATGCTTATTGCCTGGCCACATTTTTTAATTCTTTTTTCATTTGGATCATTTTGCTTCTCACCCCGTCTTCTTGCCTCCTGTCTAACCTGCTGCCAACCCATCCTCCACACGGTTGCCAGAATGATCTTTACCCAACTCACACCACTCAAAGGCTTTCATTTTTCTTGAGGGTCAAAACCAAGCTCCTTGGCATAGGATACGAAGCCCCTGATGGCCCAGCGAGTGGCTCTAGCTCTCACCAGACCCATCTTTGGATATTTCTTCCTTGCTAAGATACTTGATTTACAGTTCCCAGAAGGTGTGAGGATAACATATATCTCTGAGCCTTTTCATATGCTGCTCCCTCTCTTTAGTTTACCTTCTTCCACTTACTTGAGTACCACTGACTCTGATTCACTCTTCAAAACTCAGAAAATTGGGAGCAGAAATTGCATCCTGTCATCTCAGTGATCTCAGCACCTAGCAAGGTACCTACCATAAAGGAACTGTTCAACGAGTAGACAAGTGGTTCCTACGTGCCTGGTACCCTGTGGGATACTTGGTGTTATGGTTTGAATCTGCAATGTCCCCCAAAGGCCATGCATTGAAGGCTCAGTCCCTGATGCAGCTATGTTCAGAGGTAGAACTTTGGGGAATCAGCTGGATCATGTGGGCTCTGACCACCTGTGGATTAATCATCCTGACTGAATAGACTATGGGGAGGTGGTAGAACCTGTAGGAGATGGTGCCTACTGGAGAAAGGGGGGTCTCTGGGGGTGTTCCCTGGAAAGGTTTATTTTGTCCCCAGCCCCTTCCTCTCTTACTGCTCTCTATCTCTGCTCCCCAGATGCCACAAGGTGAACAGAGGTTCACCATGGTTCATGGTGCCTCTCCTGTGCCCTTCCACCATGTTTCTGCCTTGGAACCAGCTGATCAGGGACTGAAACCTCTTGAAACTATGAGCCAAAATAAATCTTTCCTCTTGTTTTTCCCTCAGGTGTTTTGGCTATACCATGAAAAGCTAACACCCTTGCTGTATAATGCCCATATCTCAGCCATTTTCCCCTCAAACTAGTTTCCCCATCCCAAACATTTCTTTTTGCATCAATGACAAGGCTGGAAAAGTGAATTCTGAGTTATATCCCACCTCTGTGACCTTGGGAAAGTCATTTATTGCCTCTGTGCCTCTAGTCTTTATCTGCAATAAGGGTTGATAAAAAGGAAAGGATAAGATGAATTACTTAAATTAGTACTTATTGAACCAGAGACTGTGCTAAACACTTTTAAATAAATTAGTTTGAGTGATAGTCACAATATTCCCATGAGACAGATTTTATACCCATTATACAGAAGAGGAAACTACAGATCAGAGCAATAAGGTGGATAACTTGGCTCAAATCACAAAGCTGGAAGGTTTGGGGTACATGACTAAATCACAGGCTACATTAGGAAAAAAAAATGGAGCAACCAGGTCCTTCCAACCCTGAATGATGAGGAGTTTGTTTTTGTGTGTTTGGTTTTTGTTTGTTTTTGTGGCATAGGATATGAAGCCTATGTTAGGGCACTAAGTTACATCCTCAGTCTTTTTATTTTTATTTTTTTTCTTTAGTTGTCAATGAACCTTTATTTTTTTATTTATATGTGGTGCTGAGAATCGAACCCAGTGCCTCACACATGCAAGGCAAGTGCTCTACCACTGAACCACAGCCCCAGCCCCAGTCTTTTTATCTTTATTTTGAGGCAGGATCTCACTAAGTTGTCCATCTTGAGCTTGAACTTTCAATCTTCCTGCCTCAGCCTACCAAGCTGCTGGAATTGCAGCATCCATCCCTGAAGAGGAGGATTTCTTATTGTCACAGCCTTTTCTAACCTTGGATGTCAAGAAGAGAGGACCTACCACTTCCCAACAGAGCAACATGTGATGAGTATGACATCTGACCTCCAGGCCCAAGCCCTCAGTCCTCCCCTGGGTACTCCTACAGTTCTTGACAATGATCTCCAGAACTCCTTCTGCACCTTTATTTTAAAACATATTTTATCTCGCTAGATCTCCTGAGTAAGGGAGGAATCAGTCTCCCCCTCCCTTTTTTTTTTTGCTACTGGAGATTGAACTCTGGGGCAATCGACCACTGAGCCACATTCCCCAGCCCTATTTCATATTTTATTTAGGGACAGGGTCTCCCTGAGTTGCTTAGTGCCTCGACATTGCTGAGGCTGGCTTTGAACTTGCAATCCTCCTGTCTCAGCCTCCCTAGCCACTGGGATTTCGGGTGTGTGCCACCACGCCTGGCTAGAGGATTTCCATTTTTGAGATGAAAAGAATGAGGCTCAAAGTGACTTGCCTAAAAAGTCATATGGCATTATTCCTCAACAGGACAACAGTTGCCATCAGAGGCTTGTATGCCCATGGATGTGTTTTTCTAATTGACTAAGAAGCAGAGGAGTGGCATTGTGGACAGAGAACCTGTTAGACAGACCTTAGGTGCATGTTTGTCTGCTTTTTGGTACTGGGGATTGAACCCAGGGGTGCTTAACCACTGAGCCACATCCCCATAGTCCAGAAGGTCCAGAAAGAGGAGGTCTGTTTTAAGAGGTAATATAGTCTGACCAAAACAAAGAAATCAGGAATACCTTAAGTTCTTTGAGGGCAGAAACTCATCTTACCTTTATATTTCTGGTCCTAGTACAGTTCCAGTGACATATTTAGTACTCAATAAATGTCTGTTGACTTGAACTGGAAATTTGGAAGAAGAAGGCAAAGGAGGGAATTTGAGAAAGTTCAGAATCAAGAATCAAGGGAGACACCTAGAAATACGGGGTCCAGGAGAGAGACTCCAGACGTGTGATCCTGATTCCCTTACTTCAAGCCATTGGGGAATCCTCCAGAGGAACAGGGTACTGTGGCTTTAAATGACTTCAGCATTGTCAATGAATCTGCTCTGCTAAAAGAGTTATCCTCTTGCTCCTGCGCTTGGCCTCCCCCTCCTCTCAGCTCCCCAAACCCTTCTCGGCCGCTGTGATGGGATAATTAGATGCGAGAGCTCAGCACAGATGATGCTCCAGTTGCTTAGCAACTAATGGTTTCCATGGAGACCGCAAAGCACAGCCTCCAGAGCAGCCAGTGAGCAGCTCGGCAGGGCAGGGAGAAGACGCAACTCTCTGCTCCTCCAGAAACCTGGGGAGGGTTGGGGTGGGGAAGGGGGGGGTTGGAGGGAGAAGGGAAGGCTTAAAGGCACAGGGCCCTCATATCCCTTTAAAACCTGGTCTGAGATCTGCCCTACCCCAATCTGTCTCATCATAATTTCAGATGGGGAATGGGAGCTTAAGGGTGGACCCAAGGCAACCTGCCCTGCAATAAACTCAACCTCTTCTCCTTTCTGCTTCCTGGTTACGATTGAAATGGAAAAAGATACCTCTCAAACCCAAATGTAAACATCCTGCCAGGGGGTGATGGAAGTTGAGAAGTGTCGGGAACATCCCCCTTCCCCAGGCATTCCACCCTTGACTCCGTTCTCTCTCCCGAGTTCTCTTTCATGAGCGAAAGATCCTCTTTCAGTTTATAAAGCAGGGGTAGGATCTGAGCTAAAGGGGACAAAAACCAAGGAGCAGGAAAAACAGAATTTAATTCTCCACCAAAAGGCAGCCCATCCTGGCAAACTGGGGGGGAGGGAAGCCCCACCACTGCCTTCCATTGGAAAAGACCTAGAGTAAGTGTTGGGGGGCAGGTATCAAAACCAATCCTCTGCAAGTCCAAGTGAGCACCATCTGTGTTACCTGAAAGCTCCTTGGAAACGCAGAATTTCAGGCTTCGCCTCAGACCCTCTGAATCAGAAACTGCATGACAAGAGATCCCTGGTCATTCATAATCACAGTAAATTTGAAGAAGCTCTGGCCTAAGACCCTTCTACCCTCAGCCTGGGTCCTCTTTACTGTTGTCCCCATTCACACCCAAGATGGAAGCCCACCCTTCCCACCAATGAGGTAGGAACGCAGCTCCACCAGCCCCTCATGATCATACAAGAATGCTGGCCTTCTCTGAGACGGGGAAGATAACAGGGTCATGGAGCAAAGAGACCTACAGCAATTATCTCTGTAGAGCATAGGCCTTTATAGAATTCCACAACCTCTCCTGACAGTGTTCTACTTTCCACAAGTGACTACCTGAATTTCAGTTTCCTCATTTACAAATGGGAACCAGTAACATCCATTACTCGGATGGCTGTAGCTTATGTATGTGGGAACACAAGGAGCCCCTGGCCTATGCCCAGAGTAGGGGCATCCTTGTCTCCCTCATGGCCCCCCTTCCCCTTCTGCTGATAGTTCCTCCTTCACTTCCCTCTCACTGGCCCAGGGTAGGGAGTGGTCATAAGTTGTGTCATTGTTTTGTTTTGTTTTTGCTTTTGTTTTTTCATTTTCTTTCTTTTCTTTTCTTCTTTTTTTGAACTCCAAAATTTATAGAAAGGGTAATGTACCTTTTTTTAATTTTTTTCATTTTCTCTTACCAGGTCTCTTTCCATTTTATTGTTTTGCCTCGCTGGAGATCAAACCAGGACCTGACATGCTAAGCATGCTCTCTACCCCTGAGCTGTAGCCTCAGCCCTCTTTCTCTTCTTTATTCTCAATTCAACAAATGTTTGCTGCCCAAGGCTGACTGTGCCCACCCCACCCACGCTTGTCTCTCCAGAAGTCTTCCCTGGATTCCCTTGTTCCCACCCACAGGAGGAATCTGAAAGCCTACGTGTCAGTCACCCCTGCCTCTCCCAGCAATAGCTGGGCCTCGGTGAATACCAAGAATTAAGCCCCCTGCTCTGCTACCCCTCTCCCTGTGATCAGTCTCTTTCTCTCCTTTTAGAAGCTCCTCAAGGTTACTCTCCTCTTCCTACGTACCAGGGCAACTTCGGAATTCATGCCCTTCCTGGGAAGACCCCTGCCATCAAGGGAGAGCAGCCCCCCACCCCAGGCTCTAGACCCACACAGGTGCCCACAGGAACACTGCTTTACATATGGGAGGCCCAGAAGAGGGGATGGTTTACCTTGCTCCTCTGCAGCCAACTAATCACTAGGACTCAGACAGGGCACCCCCACACACTTCTGGCCTGAAGGCCAGCTCTCTGTCCTGAAAAACCTGTCCCAAACTCCCCCTAGGCCATAGGGCCCAAGGGGCAGGTTGGACTGGATTCCCCTTCGGCTCCTCCCACCCCAGGACAAAATCAGCCACCCCAGGGCAGGGCCTCACATGCCTCAGGAAGCCCCAGCCTGCCAGCACCTGTTCCAGGATCCAGGTTTCAGTCCAGCATGGCATCCCTGCAGCCTGTCCAGACCTTGCCCTTGATCCTGATTCTGCTGGCTATACTGGCCCCGGGGGCTGCAGGTCTCTGCAATCTCTGGGGAAAGGTTCAGAGGTCTAAACAGGGGCCCCTGGGCCTTCCAGGTTCTCAAAGGGAAGCTGGTCTGGCTGGCTAGGGGTGGGGGTTGGTGATATCAGTGACCGGGCATTAGACTAGGATCCAGGGCACATTCCTGGGCCTCTTCCAGACCCAGGAGGCAGAGAAGTGTGGGAAAGTGTCCAGGGCTGCCCCGTGGGGATAAGGTTGGGCGCTGCCTGCCTCCTGGTATCCAAGTCTGGCTCCAGGGCAGCTTGGAAGAGTATGCAGCTTCTGCGGCCCAAGCCTGCCACCTGGTGGTCAGGCTCGCACAGGCTTGGCTGTTCTACTCTCCGGCTGCAGAAAGGGGAGATGGATTTCGCTTCCTTAGCAGTGGCCCCAGGGGCATGCACCAGATCTGACGGCTGGACAGGGACTGATGCCCATCTGAACTCCCTTCTGGCCTCCCAGCAGAGTTCAACATCTCAAGCCTCTCTGGTCTGCTGTCCCCAGCGCTAACCGAGAGCCTGCTAGTTGCTTTGCCCCCCTGTCACCTCACAGGAGGCAACGCCACACTGACTGTCCGAAGAGCCAATGACAGCAAAGGTCTGCTTCCTGTTCCCCAGGCATCCCCCTGGTTCCCAGGGACCTCTTCCCAGGGCCCCACCGGCATCCCTTCCCCTATTCATGCCTCCTTGTCAAACCCTCTCTTGAGGCATTCAAACTCAAAGCTGCCCCTTTCTCCCTGGAGCCTCCAAAAACTTGACCCTGACTTTCACTCCCAATTTCCTGCCCAGTGGAGAAGTCCAGTTTTATAGTGCCTCCATGCCGAGGGCGCAGGGAGCTGGTGAGCGTGGTGGACAGTGGGAATGGCTTCACAGTCACACGGCTCCGTGCATACCAGGTGACAAACCTCCTCCCAGGAACCAAATACTAGTAGGTACCTGACCCATGCCTGGAGCAACTGAGGGATGGGGATGCCGGAAGAGAAGCTGGGAGGGTTCTGGTCAGTACGGGTTGGGGGGCGGGGGGACGGCCAAAGGGTGTGCAAAGTGTCCTCTCCTGGGGGAAGGCATAGCCATGAAGCTAGGTTGGGGAGCAGACTGGAGTCCTTCTTTCCCTAAGTCCCAGATACTCACTGAACGTTTTCTCCTCTCTCTCCAACCCCACCCCAAAAGTATTTCCTACCGAGTAGAGAAGGGGACATCTACCGAGTCCAGCAGAGAGATCCCAATGTCCACGCTTCCTCGTAAGTAGCGCTCTGCCTCCGTCTCTGGGTCCACAGACCTTCCCGGGACACTCTCACTCCATCCCCCAGTGTGGATTAGCTGCCCGCCTGCGCCCCCACAGCACCTTTGCATCCTACCACAGAGGCCCGTGGCAACTTCCTGTTGACTCATCTGTCCTACTGTTAAACTAAAGGCTCCTCATGGGTAGGGTGGGTGTCCTCACCTCTGTATCCTCGGGGACTCCCCTAGGAGATGTTCTGTAACTTTGGTTTGATGGGTGCTTGGGTCCACTGCCTGGCTGGTCGGATGGATAAATAACTGAAAGAATGGACATTGGTTGGGTGGCCAGATGAGAGCTAAGTTGTGCACCTGAGGAGCCTTGGGCCCCTCCTGCCCTCAAAGGCATCCCTTTTTCTCTTCTGACAGGAAGGAATATGGAGTCCATTGGTCTGGGAATGGCCCGAACAGGGGGCATGGTGGTCATCACAGTGCTGCTGTCTGTGGCCATGTTCCTGCTGGTAGTGGGTTTCATCATTGCCCTGGCTCTGGGCGCTCGAAAGTAAGGAGGGCTGACCTGCGCGGGGCTCCTCCAGGAAGTCCAGAAACTCTCTGTGTCCCAGCCTGCCTCCTCCTGGGCCTCAGACACCCGCCTCTGGCTCCTTCAGTGCCTTCATGTCCCTCTCCCTGCCCCCACCCTGCCCCTGGAGCCCTTTCCTCCCTCAGTCCCTCTCCATGCCCCCAGTGCCACATCACCCAACACTCCCTACCATTCCCTTGCTGCAATCCTGTGGGAGTCGACATTCCTACCATTTCACCACTCTGACCCCCATTACAGTCCACCCTTCCTCTGTGAACTTGGTCTCTACAATAAAGGCTAATCCACATCTACCCTGTGCGGTTCCCTTTAGTGGGCTCCCATTGGAGGCAAACCTATAGAATCCACATCCAGGCTGCAAGTGCACCTGGACTCCTCCCCACCTCAAGCCTCAGCATATAAGACACCAGGAGTCAGAGCTCTCAGACCCACACCTGGGCTGTGGCTTTCACATTCTGCACAGCACGAAGAAGACCACCCAACCAGGGTCCTGGGTTGGCGGCAGAGGCTGAGTTTGGGGCATCAGGTAGGGGCCAAGGGGCCTGAGGGACTGGCTGGGGCTGGCAGAGCATGGAGAAGCATTGGGAGAAAGAGCCACTGTCTGGGAAAGACAAAGACCGGGCCACCAGGGTGAGACCCAAGGATAGGGCACTGGAGGGGGAAGTGGAAACAGAAGTGGAAGGACCCTGGCTGGAGGGGGACAAGGGAGGTAGAGTGTGGTAACTAAGGGAAAAGGGCAGGAGTCCCTTGTTTTGTTTTTTTTTTTTTTTTTTTTGGTAACCAGGGATTGAACTCAGGGGCACTTAACCTCTCAGCCACATCTCCAGCCCTTTTTAATATTTTATTTAGAGACAGGGTCTCGCTAAATTGCCTCAGGCCTCGATAAGTAGTTGAGTCTGATCTTGAACTCAATAATCTTCCTGCTTCAGCCTCCTGAGCTGCTGGGATTACAGGCATGCGCCACCGTGCCCACTCATCCAGGACATATTCCTTACAGGGACCAGTGATCTTTACATTGTCTCTTTCTTCTTTCTTTCTTTCCTTCTTTCCTTCCTCCCCCTCCCCTTTCTCTCTCTCTCTCTTCTCTTCTCCTCTTCCTCCTCCTTCTCCTCCTCCTCTTCTTCTTTTCTCTCTCTCTCTCTCTCTCTCTCTCTCTCTCTCTCTCTCTCTCCTTCTTTTTCCAGTATTGGGGATTGAATCCATGGCCTCAAGCAAGCACTCTTGGACTGAGCTACATTCAGGCAGGCCTAATATATCCCATAACTTCCCTGCAATTTTTACCACCATCCTTCCAAGATACTGTGTTCCTGCTTTCCTCAGGACCTTTGCACAGAGTATTCTGTGAGCCAGAACTGCTCTTGTGACTGCTCCCACTGCCTCTTCACTCCTATTTACATAGTTAGCTTCCTGTCCCTTCTCAAGGGAAGCCTCTGACCTTCATTCCTCCCTTTAGGTTGGACTCCCCTATCCTGTCTCCTAGTGTTACCACATAGTTTATAACTGTGTTTGTGTGGTTATTTGACTGTCTCCTTTATCAGATGGTGAGTTTCCTGAGAGCAATTGCTTTGCTCCTATCTTTGTTCCACACTGCCTGAACATAGTAGGCACTCAATAAATACTTGTTGAATAAGTGAATGAATGAACAAAGAGAAGGGGGAATCTGGGAAAGGACCAAAAATCCTGTGAAAACAACCAGAAAGGATTCACAGGAACCTTGATGACCTCTTTGTAGAATGATCCTAGAACTTGAGACAGGGAAGCAATGGAAGAGAAGGACAATGATCTTTCTCATTCCACAAATATTAACTGAGCATATGCTATGTGCCAGGTGCTCCTGAAGGATCTAGGCTCACACTGTGAAGAGACATCTTTCTTCTCTCATGGAATTTACATGGAAATCAATTAAATAGAAAATGTAATGAATGCTGTGAGTAACGGAAGAGGATCAGACACAGGGCTCTTCTTTACTTTGAGTGGGAGCAACCAAGCCAAGGCTGAAAGCTGGGGAAGTCAAGGCTTTCTTCCCCACCCTATTGCAACAGCCCAGGAAGTAAACCTGGAGCCCGGCCTAAACCTACAGGAGGACACTGGGCTGGAAACTGCACTGTACTTCACATTAACATCATCTAAAGGGCTCATGAAAAAGTTTAATAAGCCAGAATGGTGGTACACACCTGTAATCCCCGTAACTCAGGAGGCTGAAGCAAGAGGATAGCAAGTTGGAGGCCAGCCTGGGCAACTTACCAAGGCAAGATATCCAAATAAAAATCAAAAAGCGGGGCTGGAGTTGTGGCTCAGAGGAAAGAGCCCTCACCTAGCATGTGAGAGGTACTGGGTTTGATTCTCAGCACCACATAAAAATAAAATAAAGGTATTGGTTAAAAAAAAATCAAAAAGGTCTGGGATGTAACTCAGAGTTAAAGCAGCCTTGAGTTCAAATCTCAGTACAAAAAAAAAGCCCGATGACCAGATCACACTTCATACCTGCCGCAGTCTGGCTGGGCACAATTCAGGAGCCACTTGTCAAAAGAAACTAACTTTATTTTTAGAACTACAAACGCCAAACAAAACAGCTCCTCAGGAAAAAAACCTCAGAGCCCAACTGCCACCACCGGCTTCCCACAAGCCTCTCACCCCGACACCAGCCTCTCCACCTCCCACAATCCTCCTGCTCTTGAGGCCGATTGGCTGGGTCATGTGGGCGGAGCCAAAGAAGTCCCCCAATGAGCAGCTCCGTGGTCTGAAAGGGCAGGGAAACAGCCCAATGAGCATCACCGCAGAGGAGCCAATCAGCTAGATGTTGCTGGGGCCTCTGTGAGGCAATCATCAGCCAGCAGCTGGAAGTTTGCTGGGGCCCCTTTGGCTGTGGCTCTCAACACATACCAAGATCAAAATGACAAGGTGCTGGACATTTAGCTCAGGGGTAGAGCACTTGCCAAGGATGTGTGAGGCCCTGAATTCAATCCCCCAGCACTACAAAAATAAGTAAATAAAAAATTTCAGCTGGGCATGATGGCACATACCTATAATCCCAGTAGTTTGGGAGGCTAAGGCAGCAGATCCCAAGTTTGAGGTCAGACTAGGCAACTCAGCAAGGCCCTAAGCAGCTTAGTGAGACCTTGGATCAAAATAAAATATAAAAAGGGCTAGGGATGTGGCTCAGTGAATTGAACCCCTGGGTTTACTCCCCAGTATTACTACTACTACTAATAATAATAATTTCAGAATGATGCGGGTGGAAGCCAGGTATTAGTATTTATTTAAATACAACCCCCACCCCACCAGGAGATTCCAGTGTGCAGTAAAGTTTGGAAATTGAATAAAATTTACTATTTCTTTCTTTCTCTCCCCCACTGCCATCTGTACTTGATTAACCCAGGAGCATTTAACCACTGAGCCATATCCCCAGTTCTTTCAAATATTTTATTTAGAGATAGGGTCTTGCTAAGTTGCTGAGGCTGGTTTTGAACTTGTGATCCTCAGCCTCTGAAGCAGCTGGAATTACAGGTATGCACCACCTCGCCCAGCCATTTTAACCATTTTTAAGTGTACATTTCAGCATCATTACCTTCTCCTTCTTCTTCTTCTTTTTTTAAATATTTATTTTTTAGTTGTAGATGGACACAATATCTTTATTTTATGTGGTGCTGAGGATCGAACCCAGGGCCTCACACATGCTAGGTTAGAGCTCTACCGCTGAGCCACAACCCCAGCCCTTCTTCTTCTCCTTCTCCTCCTCCTCCTCCTCCTCCTCCTCCTCCTTCTTCTTTCTCTCCTCCTTCTTCTTCTCCTTCCTCTTCCTCCTCCTCCTCCTCTTCCTCTTCCTCTTCCTCTTCTTCTTTTTCTTCTTCTTCTTCTTCTTCTTCTTCTTCGGGGCTGGGGCTGAACCCAGGCCTCCGAGCATGCTAGGCAAGGACTCCACCACCGAACCACACCCCTGCCCTAACATCGTTGTGCTACCATCACCACTATCTATTGGCAGAATTTTTCCACCATCCCAAACAGAACCTCTGAGCCCATTAAATAATTACTATCACCTCCTTCCCTAGTTCCTGGCACTCGCCACTCTACAGTCTGTCTCTATGCATTTGGCTCTTCTAGGAACCTCTGTCACTGAATTACACAAAATTTGTCCTTTTGTGTCTGGTTTATTTTCCTTATAATATCTTCAAGATTCATCCATGTTGTAGCATGTGTCAGAACTGTATTCCTTTTTAAGGCTGAATAATATTCCCTGTATGTTCATACCATTATTTTGTATTTGTATTCATCCATTGGTGAACACTTGGGTTCTTGCCAAATTTTGGCTATTGTGAATAATGCTATGAACAATAATGTTCAAATATCCCTTTAAGTCTGTGCTTTCCAATCTTTCAAGTATATACCCAGAAAAAAAAAGTCTTGTTGGATCCTATGATAATTCCATGTTTAACTTTTTGAGGAACCACCGTAGTATTTTCCACGGTGGTGGCAGCTCTGCCATTTTACATTCCCATCAGTGATGCGCAAGGATTTGAATTTCTCCACATCCTCACCAGACTGTTTTTCTTCTTTTATTGGATATCTTTGCCAGTGGAAAGTTTTCCAACATTTAGGAAACTTCCTTCAGACACACACCTAGAAGCTTGAGAGAGATGAGATAAGCCACAAATCAAAACTTCTATCAGGTCTTTCATGTTTTTCTCAACAAGGGCTAAAATAAGACTTCTCACATCTCAGCTTCCCAGGAGGTCAGTCCCTTACTATGGATACAGCTAACTCCGTGCAACCCCAAATCACCATGCAATTGGTAAGGGGAACCCTGAGGAACCTCAAGAGAGATGGTCCCACTCATTCTGGTGGCCAATAATAGACTCCAGGTATCTGGTTCCATCATGTGGTGACAGTCATGATCAGTCAGGGGCCAGCTCTGGACACATCTCAACATCTCCAGGCCTTGGAGCCCGGCAGCAAGAATTCTGGCTCCCCACACTCCGGATCATATCCAGCAACCACTGTCTTGCTCCATGTGGCCCAATGTCGGTAACTTGAGTCTGGCTTGTGGCTGTGAACCATGGCTCCACCTGAATTAGGGTGGGGCTATGCACCTCCATAGATCGAAGGTATTTATCTCCATGATCAATTACATGCTTCCCTAGCTCTTCTTCCATGTAAAATACCAGTGGAGAATGAAAATTTTCAGGCCATGTCCACCATGCTTTCTTGCCAAGAGTGCTCATTTCCAAATGGTACACTGCTCTTACTTGACTCACAGTACAGCAAGTCCAAGCCACTGGCTGGAAAATGTCTTTTT